TCCAAAACAAACCCTATTGAAATTGGGAAAATCGGTCCAGATTTAGATATAGCTCCCATATATAGTTTCGTCCGATTTCATGTAAATGGTGTACCAAAATCCCTATATATCCTTCGATTTGCACGAAATTTGGCATAACGTACTGAAGTGAGCCTAGAGTGATGTCTGCCAAGTTTTGAGAAAATCGGTCCAGATTTAGATATAGGTCCCATATATAGTTTCGTCCGATTTAAGGTAATGGTGCACCAAAGTCCCTATATATCATTCCATTTGCACGAAAATTATATATAGTATATAGTAGGCATATAACTGAATTAGGTCCAGATGATGTGTGCTAAGTTTCGTGAAAATCGGTTCAGATTTAGATAAATCTCCCATATATAGTTTCGTCCGATTCTATGTAAATGGGGCACCAAAGTTCCTATATACCTTTCGATTTGCATGAAATTTGGCACAGCGCACTGAATAAGACTAGAATGATGTACGCTAAGTTTCGTGAAAATCGGTTCAGATTTAGATATAGCTCGGATGCGGGAGTTACACTTAATTATTAACAGGTGCTTAGGTATTCAAATATTATTTAGTAAACCATTACCACACTGGAGGGCGGAATATAGGGGTGATCGCTTTGAAATGCTCCATGAGGTTGCAGTTATGGTCAAGGACAACGCCTTTAATTTTCGGTGATGATCAGATAATAATTTTGGGCTGAAGTGGACCAAAACTTATTTTTTTGTGTTTTTACGAGTCGATTTGTAGGCCACAGGCCGAATAGCACAACACAACCCACGGTGAAGGGAATCTAGACAAGCACTTAGAAGGGCTGTACTGAATATTTGTTTACCTCTAGTCGGCCAAGAGGGTGCAAATATTGCGAAATATTGCTCAAGCTCAGAATATAGAACTACAGGAATTCAAATTTTCGTTGAAGTTGTGTAGGGTATCATATGGTCGGCCCCGTTCGACTATACTGCTCGGCTCACTTGTTTTTAATCTATTTTTTTTTTACTTATGGCTAAAATATCTCCGTCACTTCAAAATTTTATTTCGCCTCAAAAAAAATCTTCCAAAAAAATAAAAACACAAAATTATTAAGTTTATGGCAATAAATAAATTAATTATACAACAACAAAAAAATATAAAAATGTTTTATTATTATTAATTGGGTACTAAAAACCGATTGGATTATTAGGATTCGAGAAATGCGTTTAAGAATCACTATTGCCGTCACTTGATGCTGACTCAATTAATCGGCTATATCTTCAAGAGTAGATCGGAATAACAAAAAATATGACACCGAGAATGGGGGCCTTTGGTGCACCTTTTACATAAAATCTGACAAAACTATATATGAGAGCTATATAAAATCTGAATCGATTTTCTCGAAACTTAGCACATATCATTCTGGACCTAATTCACTACGGTGTGCAAATTTCGTTCAAATCGAAATATATGAAGGGACTTTGATTTTCTTTTCGCGGTCTTCAAAGTCTCTTTATAGTATCCAGAGTTTTATTAAGTTGATTGAAATAAGTAGTGAATATATTTTCATTTATAATTTTGTTTTTTAATTTTTTGGTTCAACATTACAACAACATTTTTGACATTTATAAACCGATTGGATTATTAGGATTCGAGAAATGCGTTTAAGAATCACTATTGCCGTCACTTGATGCTGACTCAATAATCGGCTATATCTTCAAGAGTAGATCGGAATAACAAAAAATATGACACCGAGAATGGGGGCTTTGGTGCACCTTTTACATAAAATCTGACAAACATATATGAGAGCTATATAAAATCTGAATCGATTTTCTCGAAACTTAGCACATATCATTCTGGACCTAATTCACTACCCGGTGCCAAATTTCGTGCAAATCGAAATATATGAAGGGACTTTGATTTTCTTTTCGCGGTCTTCAAAGTCTCTTTATAGTATCCAGATTTTTATTAAGTTGATTGAAATAAGTAGTGAATATATATTCCCTTCTTACGTTTATAAATTGAAAGGCTTTTTCGCGGTTTTTCACTATTTACATTGTGTTTTCGTTGCATCGGGGGTTCACAATATCACACAACACCACGTGTGTATACAAAGTTCAATAAGTTGTCGTTTTTAAAACGACATTTAATACACATTCATATAAAATTCCATAAGTACCCACCTCAACCACCCAACAGAAATAATATAATCGATTTCATTTCCATTGCTTTCCCTTACTATATACTTCATATACTCCATTGAAAAGCTTATTTCCCCCATTTCAGGATACCAGTCTTATCGGTTCAACCAAATACAAACAGTATCAAATTTAGTACACAGTAGTACGAACCCAACCCACTTAACCCAAACATACACCCCACAGTGATCCTAAATCCAAGTTTCAGGATTCCAACTCTATTGGTTCACCCACGATTCAAATTGTACCAAATTTAGTACATAGTTGTACCAATTTGCAAAACTTCTTACATGCCCAATCCTACACCCCCACAGTCATCCTTAATACAAGTTTCAGGATTCCAACTTTATCGGTTGACCCACAATTCAAATTGTACTAAATTAGCACACAGTAGTACGAATTTCCAAAACATCCTACTTAACCAAACCAACACCGCCACAGTGATCCTTAATCCATGTTTCAGGATTCAAACTCTATCGGTTCACCCACAATTCCAATTGTACCACATTTAGTGCACAGTAGTACAAATTTCTAAAACTTCCCACATATCTTAATCTTACACACCCACAGTGATCCTGAATCCAAGTTTCAGGATTCCCTCTATCGGTTCACCCACAATTTAAATGTACCAAATTAAGTACACATTAGTACAAATTTCTAAAATTTCCTACATATCTCAATCTTACACCTCCTCCTTAGTAGCCAAAAGTATTAATTTCTTAAACCGAATCCTGAACCTAATCCTACACCTCTGCAATGATCCTGACTCCAATTTTCATTGTTCCGCTTTATCGGTTCACCCAAATCTAAATTGTACCAATTATAGTCCGATTTAGTACTTTTCGTACACATAAGTAAACAATTCCAAAATTACGTACAAATCTCAATCCGACGGTAATGTTAATTTCAAATTTCAGGATTCCAGCTCGATTTGTTCCTCCGAAAAAAATTTGTACCAAATATATTACTTTTCGTACCCATGAGTCACTCTTTCAAAAACAATCTCTTTAAATAGACCCTACATCTCAACCCTAATTCGCATTTCAAATTTTTAGCTCAATTCCATTCACATGCTACGAAATTGTACCAAATTTAGAACTTTTCGCATACTTATAGTTCGAATGTCCAAAAACTCTTTTGCTATATATATTTACACTCCATCAGTGACCCTCATTAAAATTTAAGAGTTCTACCTTACCGGTTCGCCAAATACAAATGTTATCTTATTTAGTACTTTTTGTACCATTCTAGTACGAATTTCCGAATTCATTACATATATCATATATAGCATATACCTGTTACTTCGTTAGCGAATGTGGGAATAATTTAAACATATATTAAACATATTATGTTATTTTCACAAAATACTGCATATGTCAGAAAACAAATAAATCTGCACATTAATATCTACCATAAAATGAATTTGAGTACCATTTAGTACTCCGCACCATCCAACAAAACTTCCTGCATACCCCGATCCTACACACCCCACAATGATTCCAAATTTGAGAATTTCAAATCTATTGGTTCACCCACAATTCAAATTGTACCAAATTTACTACACAATAGTACCAATTTCCAAAATTTCCTACATACCCCAATCCTACACCTCCACAGTGACCCAAATCCATGTTTCTGATTCCAACTCTATAGGTTCACCCACAATTCAAATTGTACCAAATTTAGTACACAGTAGTACCAATTTCCAAACCTTCCTACATACCCCAATCCTAAACCCCCACGGTGTTCCTAAATCAAAATTTCAGGATTCCAACTCTGTTCTGTTCACCCACCATTCAAATTGTACAAAATGTAGAACACAGTAGTACCAATTTCCAAAACTTCCTACATACTCCAATCCTACACTCCACAGTGATCTTAAATCCAAGTTTCAGGATTCCAGCTATATCGGTTCACCCACAATTCAAATTGTACCAAATTTAGTACACAGTAGTACCAATTTCCAAACTTTCTACATACCCCAATCCTACACCTCCACAGTGAAACAAAATCCAGGTTTCTGATTCCAAATCTATATGTTCACACACAATTCAAATTGTACCAAATTTAGAACACAGTAGTACCAACTTCTAAACCTTCCTACATACCCCAATAATACACCTCCACAGTGTTCCTAAATCAAAATTTCAGGATTCCAACTCTATCTGTTCACCCACAAATCAAATTGTACTAAATTTAGTACATAGTAGTACCAATTTCCAAACCTTCCTACATACCCCAATCCTACACCTCAAAATTTCAACATTCCAACTCTATCGCTTCACTCTCAATTTAAATTGTACCAAATTTGGTACACTTAGTACAAAATTCTAAAACTTCTTACATACCCAACCCCACAGTGATCCCAAATTCAAGTTTCAGAATTTCAACTCTATCGGTTCACTCATAATTCAAATTGTACCAAATTTAGTACACATTAATACAAATTTCTAAATCTTTTACATATCTCAAGCTTACACCTCAACAGTGATCCTGACACCAAATTTAATGATTCTAGCTCTATTAGTTCACCTAAAAATCAAATTGTACCAAATATAGTACCATTTAGTGCTCATAAGTATTAATTTCTTTAAGTTATTGTAAATAAGTAAGTATTTTTTGGGTACTGTATTTAGTTATTATAAGTTTTCGGTCGGTTTTATATTACCATGAAGTGAATTAAGAAATGACAAATTAAATGAAATGAGTACACGAAAACGGCTAAAGATGTATTTTATAAAAAAATATATATAAGTACTATAATAATAACATAAGCCAAAATAAATTAATAATGAATATTTTATTCATAAAAAAACACGTTTTCAATACTTATTAAAGAATAGGCTTTAAATTTAAATTAATCGTCAATAAAAATTTTACAGCATTCATAGAATTAATAAAACATGATAAAAATATTTTGAAATAAAATTATTGTAATTGTGTGTGCGTGTGTGTGAACATATCCCATACATGGGCAAGAGTATTTCATATGCATGAAAGCTTATATCACTAAAAAAAGTAAGAAAACACTGGGTCCGTGGAATGTTGTGGCGGTGACTGTGTGTTGAAAGTGGGGAAATCTGAAAAACAAGCTGTTAGAAACAGATTATAAATTAATACTAAAACTTGTTACCAAATTGTTTAATTTCCTCGAACGGCAACTTTTTTCGCTGGTTGTCTATCCATGTTTTTAATTGAGCCGGTGTTCTTTTACATAGGCAGATATTTTTTTCTATAGCTGCTGCACATTGCTTTATGGAAGGCAACTTCTCCAAGGCCAAAATATCTCCAATGTTTCTTTAACGGAATCAATTTCAGCACTGCTCCACCTCTTGCGTATTGTCCGTCCGAAAGGGGATGCTAAAATATTGAAAATATTGTTATTTGTGTAGTACTAAGTTGGTTAAAATACAGCTAAGTAATCAAAAATATTAAGAATTATAGTTTCTACAATTTTTACTTACTACTACGTCTCTTCGGTTTTACCATATCTGTTTCTGAATCTTCAGAGTTTTCCTCCAAACCTTCATATTGCATACTCCCTTCGTTATCAGAAACTATATTTCTATTAGAATTACTAGTTTCGATACTATTTTGCAAATTGCACCCAGCAGCCGATAATAAATTTTTGACACGCTTGTAATTTCGGCTACTGGCACCGGTACCCTATATATGCTTTTGTGGATGTCTTTGTGGTGGCCTAAAAAGTTAGCAAGTCTATCAACCGTCGATTCTTGCACGTTCAGCAATGAGGTATATGTTGCTATGTGTTTTCGCAGTTTTGTGCCTCTAAGTGTATCGGAATCAATGCTCCACACTCTGATGCAAATTTTCTCAGCAAAGGACATGCTCTGCAGTAACTTTTTGCTAAGCTGGACTTACCAGGCGCACTAAATATATATGGATTTGTCTTGGAAATGCCAGCCTTTTCTCTGAATTTAAGAATAATGTTAATGGACTTAATACACAGTGGGTCGAGCAAAACGCTCACGGTTCTTCCTAACTTTCCCCGTAACGTGATTCGAACGAATTGTTTGGCGAAATTAATGGATTGTTTAGAGATATTTTCCAACATGCCAGCTTCTACACAATCAGTTATTTGTTCCTTTTTATTAAAGTTTTCAATTGTTAACCTTTCAATTTCCCCAGCTCTTCGTCGATTGAATACTTGGATAAATATTAATGTAGATTCCAAAAGTTTTTTCCAGGAAATGAAATTGTAGTTTAAGCATAATTCGGCGAAGGAATCAAGCATTATAGTTCTTAAATAATCATACAAAATTTTGATATCGTTTTTACTTGGCAAGTCATTAGTTTTTGTCCTTTTCCGATTTTCGAGATCTTCCAGAGCTTTTTTGTTGATTTGTACGGGTGTTTTCCTCTACCCAAAGAGAAATAAAATTGTCTAAGTTACATTTAGAATCTTCATTTTGACATTTAATAAATTCATTTCGTTGTATCCGTGCGCATTTTTTTATTAAAGATGACAAGGATGTGGCAACAGCTGGCGTTGCGAATCCTTTATCAAAGGTCCACTTTGCTGTTTTTCGAAGTGCCTCAATAGCATTATCGAACAAATATGGTTTGAATATATCTTTCAATTCGGATATCTCCGGCACAATTTTCATAAATTCTATTTTAAATCTACCCAAAAGGCGCATGTTTGCTCGGATTTGATCATGGTGGTGACTTTGAGAAAGTTTTTCGGATAATCTGTTACCATATCGGATAATTAATTCGTCGAAACGTATTGCTTTGGTTATGTTATCATTTCGGAGAACAGGAAATATCGTTGTTTTCATTGCAGGACTCGCAACATGGTGTATATATTGAGTTAATTTTCGCCCTTCAATAAAATTTGATCTGGAGTTGTGTTTTTGAACACATTTCCTACTGTGTTGTCGTGATGCAAATTTTGTATAAAATCCTTTACATTTTGGACAGCATATATAGTCGTCGGCTTTTCGGTTTGTTTTTTGTTGTTGTCGTCTAGATACAATTAAAATACCAGTGTTCTGATCACTGCATGTATTGTGTATGAAATCTCCTTGTTTTCGAATGTCTTCAATTAATTTTAAACGTTCTTTGCTCAATTTGGGAAGTGCCATTGCTTGTTTAACTAGATTTTCGTTTTTATGTTTTAAGAATAAATGTCGAGCAATTTTGCACTGCAATGTTTTGCAATACATGCAAAAATGTCTTTTTAGTTTTGATTTTGAAAACGGAACTCTTAACGAATCTATCTGAATTGGAGCGGTGTTAACTTCTACAATGGAACTTGTATTTACTGTTGTATTTTGTAAAGATGAATCCGGTAGGTATTCTGACACAGATTTGTCATTATATGGCATAGAGGAATCAAAACTTTCTGTAGCCAACGTACTTCTATTACCTGATGATTTAATAGCAGTAGAATTTTTTAGTCGTTGGGTTTTAAGCACTGCATTTTTAAAAGAAACAGATTCGCCACTTGATGAAGTTTCATCCCACGTTGACTCTGAAGTGTCCGACAATATATGATCACTTTGTTTGGAATGATTTTCAGATGAAGGAATTTCAATACCAGTCACTTTCGTTATAACAGGCTCCGATTCGTCTAGTAGTGTGTCATTTTTGTTACTTTTAGAGGGATTATAATCTTTCGAGTTCATCGTGCTTTTTTGTAAGACTGTAGAGTTCTTAAGATGCCCTTGTTTTTTTGCCAAACTTACGTCAAAAGCATTTAAAGAACATTCACTACCAGAATTATATATTATTTCGTGATTTCTTACATATGATGAATAATTTGAATCTTCTCCCGATGTTTCGTGATGGTTTTTATTTTGTAGTTCCATTGAATTGTCATTTATAATTTCTGGTTCTGAACTCTTCTGGACATTTGTTGTAGAATTTGGTATACATTTATTTACTTCATATGTAGGCTTTTGGTCTACATGTTTTGAGTGACTTTGTCTTCTTTTCATTCGCTTTAATTCCAGAAGTTTCTTTTTGTCATCTATAGAAAAACTTTTTTTTATTTTTGCTCGTATATAATTTGTTTACATCAGATATTCAAATACTTTAAATGTTTAAGATCGTCAATAACAACAAAAGGGTTATGCGCTAGTATGCAATTAAAAAATTATTTTCAAAGTAGTGTTTTCTTCATAACAAATTTATATTATGAAATGTGGAAAATTATATATAAATTTATAAATGTTTTATCATTTTTCTGTATATTAATGACAATCTCAGACACCTTGTATTTATATTTTTGAAGTAATCATATGTGTATGTAAAACATGTGTAGTGTAAATTAAATTCCAAAACGATAACGTCATGGTACTTCCAAATATAGTAAAATGATTAGTTGTGAATTAAAATTATCATCATTGTGTCGAATATGTCTACGCTAAATAACTGTTTGGGAAGCAATATATGTTTTTGTTCAATAGTGTATATGTCTTATTTTTTAAAAGTAATATACAAAATCCATATATTGATTGACGAACTCACCATAAGATGCAATTAGTTTTGCAGAATAAAAACCACCTCTATATTTCACAACACAATCACTGCCTTGGAGTTGTGTTATAGTTTTTGAGTTAATAACAAAATAATCATCAGTGTCGTAAGCAACCAAGCTAAAAGTTTTTAGGCTGTAAACAATGAAAATGTTAATAAAACTACGCAACAACAGTTACATCATGGGTAGGCATAGATATGGGTTATATAACATATTCCAAGTAAGGTTTATAATCAGGTGGTTCTTGTTTGATTATTTTATTTAGAATAAGAAGGTAAATAAAAACTACTTCTTTTTCTTTTCAAATATCTCTTATATGTATTAAACAAGAGAAGAACTACACATATTTGGAATCTATATATGAACCAATTTGATCTAAACTTATTGCATATCTATACCAATTCGTGCAAATTTATAACTAAATCGAATATAATTTATTTTAACTGAAAAATTGTGCAGGTTCTTGTAAAAATATATATACTAACTTACCTTTGTAACATTTCATTATTTATGGACGATGACATATTTTGTATAGAATCCCTTACAGTTTCCATCGCTTGTGATGAATAAGTATTCTTTGTTTTGGCTGTGTTTCTTGCCTTTTGGCTTCGTCTTCTTTTATATTCTTTAAATTAGAAAGTTCTTCCTTGTTGTCTAGGAAATGAAAACTGTCAATATAACTTTAAATACACCTCTTACATTAATTTACCGCTTTTTGCTATTATCGTTCCCAGATAGGATCCGCCTTTGTATTTAAAAATATATCCGTCCCCGTCAAATGGTTTGGTTTTTTTTGTGTCTACGACACAAAACTCGCCATAATTATATGACACTAATGAAAACATACTATATAAAAACAAAAAATAAAAATATAATCGAAAAGCGATAATAATGCTGTTAATATTGATGTGAGAACCAAACTAAAATATTTCAAAAAATTTATGTTTTAGGTTGATTTTCGGCTTCTCCTGATGCTTGAAAACATATTCTTTAAAAATTTTCGCCTTCTGTCGATGCTTGAAAATTTTTTTAAAGAATCCACGTCTTGTGTTGTTTTTTGAAAATTATTTTAAAAAAACCTACGCCTTGTGTTGGTTTTATATATTTTATAATATATTTTTAAAACAATCCATCCTTTGTATTGGTTCTTGAAAAGTAGTTTTAATAAATCCAAGCCTTCTCCTTGTCCTTAAAAAATATTTAATAAATCCATTGACTTGGATTTTTTTAAGAATATTTGTTCAAGCATCAACAAAATAGATGTTTTTTTTGAGAATATTTGTTCAAGCATCAACAAAAGTCGTGCATTTCTTTAGGAATATTTTTACAAGATTTTTTCACAAATATTTTTACGTATTCCTTGAAAAATCTTCTTAAAAAAATATACGCATCAAACAATATTGAAAAAAATCCTTTTTTTTAATAAAAAAATCAAGCGTGAACTTTTTTTTAAAAATTTAAGAAGCAAAAATATTTTCAAAGACGTGGATTTATTAAATAATATGTTCAAGAGCGTGGATTTATTAAATAATATTTTCAAGGACGTGGATTTATTAAAAATGGTTTTCAAGGGCGTGGATTTATTAAAAACTATTTTCAAGGACGTGGATTTATTAAAAATTATTTTCAAGGACTAACTGAAGGCGAGGGTTTATATAAGAATATTTTCAAGGCCAACTGAAGGCGAGGATTTATTACACAACATTTGTCGAAGGATTCTTATAAATATTTTTAATTCTTGAAATCTTTAAAAAATTCTAGCATCAAAAAATAGTTTTTAAAAAATTCTTAAAAAATCTACGTTGATGCTTGAAAAATATTTTTTCACAAATATTTTTACGTATTCCTTGAAAAATCTTCTTAAAAAAATATACGTATCAAAAAATATTTAAAAAAATCTTTTTTTAAATAAAACCAGTAAGGAAAGGACGAAAGTCGGACGGGCCTGACTATATGATACCCTACACCACTCTGTGTATATGCAGGAGGTGCTATTGGAACAACATAAACTCAAATAAAAACATAAACTAAAAACAAACTAAACTTAATGCAATTTGGACTAAATTCAGTAGCCTGTGCAAAATGTCGTTGCAATCTGACACACATTGGGTTTTCGTGCACTATATAGATGAAATCGGCCGAAAATAGATATGAGAGCTATATCTAAATCTGAACCGATGTCAACAAAACTTAACATATGTTAAAATATACTCAATTTGGTACGTTGAGCAAAATTTTGTCGCAATTGGATAAATATTGGGGGTGTGGTGCACCATTTAGATGAAATCGGGCGAAAATATATATGGGAGCTATATCCAAATTTGAACCGATTTTAACAACTTTTAACATACGTTATTCAAGGCTCAATCTAGTGGGTTATACAAAATTTCCTCGCAATCGGACAAATTTTTTGGATATTTTGGACCATCCGATAAATATTGGGTATGTGGTGCACCATTTAGTTAAAATCGGGCGAAAATATATATGGGAGCTATATCTAAATCTGAACCGATTTCAACAAAACTTAACATATGTTAAATATTGGGTATGTGGTGCACCGTTTAGATAAAATCGTCCGAAAATATATATGGGAGCTATATCTAAATCTGAACCGATTTCAAAAGAAAATAATTCACGTCATTCTAGATTAAAATTTGATTCGCTGTGAAAAATTGCGTCGCAATCGGAAAAACATTGGATCTTTGGTATACTATCAATTTCAATAGGGTTCGTCCTTGGGCCAAATAAGCAGGCTCGCCAAATTTCAACTCATTCGGACAATAAATGCGACCTGCATCAGTTCACAATAATACATGGACAGACGGACGGACATGCATAAATCGACTTAAAACGTGATTCTAAGTAAATCTGTAAAAGCACCTATGGGTCTATCTCGTCTATTTGTGCATGTTACTTACAAATGCACAAAGACATAATACCCTGTACCACAGTGTGGTGTAAGGTATACAAATCAAGCATCAACAGAAGGCGTGAACTTTTTTAAAAATTTAAGAAGCAAACATCAACAGAAGCCGTTGATTTTTTTAAAAAAATGTTTTCAAGGACGTGGATTTATTGAAGAATATTTTCAAAGACGTGGATTTATTAAATAATATTTTCAAGGGCGTAGATTTATTAAATAATATTTTCAAGGACGTGGATTTATTAAATAATATTTTCAAGGGCGTGGATTTATTAAAAATTATTTTCAGGGACTAACTGAAGACGAGGATTTATATAAGAATATTTTTCAAGGACCAACTGAAGGCGAGGATTTATATAAGAATATTTTTCAAGGACCAACTGAAGGCAAGGATTTATTACACAATATTTGTCGAAGGATTCTTACAAATATTTTTAAATCTTGAAATCATTAAAAAATACAAGCATTAAATAATAATTTTTAAAAAATTCATAAAAATTTACGTTAATGCTTGAAAAATATTTTTAAAAAATACTCGCCTCAGTTGATCCTTGAAAAATATTCGTTAAAAAAAGATACGCTTTCAGTTTGTCCTTGAAAACTATTCTTTAAAAATGTTCGGTTTCTGTTGATGCTTGAATAAATATTAAATAAATTAAGTGTTGGTTCTTGAAACTTATTCGTTAATATATCCACGCCTTCTGCTAGTCCTTGAAATTATTCTTTAAAAAATACACGCCTCAGTTTGTCCCTGGAAAATATTCATAAAAGAATACAAGCCTTAGTTGGTCCTCGGTAAATATTCATAAAAAGTACAAGCCTTAGTTGGTCCTTGGAACATATTAGTTAATAAATCCACGCCTTCAGTTAGCTCTTGAAATTATTCTTTAAAAAATCTACGCCTTCAGTTGGTACTTGAAAATAGTATTGCAGAAAAATGTATTTCGATTCAAAGCAAAATTAAATGACACATATTTCAAATCCAATGAGTTTGGTCGTAAGGCACTCGAATAAGTTCGTATAGAATAGGTATGTCTGGGTACTTTTCCAGTAATATTTACTCAGTAACTTCATTTGAGAGAGTAAGGGAGAAAATACTTTTCCAGACAAAATATTACAAAAACAAACACATAGAAAATTGTTTTTGTATGCAAAGCTAGTGTCAGTTTGATATGTCGTAAAATGCAAACAAAATACACAAAATATCAAAAATTTTATTTATTTTAAAAACATATATTTTTGGCATTTACACAATAAAATTTAAAAACATGAATGAAAATCTTAAAAATTCGTAATTCTGTAGCTTCACCGTCATTCCTCTGATTAGGACATTTCCAGCGATATGTGCAAATCTTACCAAAATGCTGGTAATCGGCAATAGTTCAATGAAATGGGATTTGTTGCTTCAAACGTTCCCAGTAGGGAATAGAAGTAAATTTTATATGAATGGGCATTGTGCTGCCGTTGTGATTTTTTTATTCCTGAATTTTATTCTACAATAGATGAAGCCCACACCAAGAATTCCATCCGTTAAAACGATATCACAACACATGTAATTTTTGGTTTAGGGGCCGCCCTATTTATGTATGTATATATTTATACATATATGTAAAACAAATAAATCCTGCGTTATTTATTAATTTTTTTTTTGTCTGGAAAATGAAAATAAATTTCTGATACAAAACAAGGCGTGGATTTATTGAAGAATATTTTTCAAGGATCGACTGAGGCGTGGATTTATTGAAGAAAATGGCCTTAGTCTAGTTTAGGCCCCTCGAGGATGGTTTTTAAATTTTTATCACATGGGGTCCTAATTACGACTGGGTCCTGATTTTCAATGGCAAACTGAAGGCGTATATTTATTGTATATTATTTGAATAAATAATGAAATAATAATGAATAAATTAAAAAAAAAATCCACGCCTTGGCTCTGTGGTGCACCACTTAGGAGAAATCGGCCGTAAATATATATGGGAGCTATATCTAAATGTGAACCGATTTCAACAACTTTTAACATACGTCATTCAAGGCTAAACTAGTGTTATGCAAAATGTCGTCGTAATCGGACAAAGTTTTTAGGCATTGGTACACCTTTTAGGTATAATCGGGCGAAAATATATGGATTTAGATTTAGATAAAGTCTGAATAGATTTCAGCAAAACTTAACATATGTTATAATATACTCAATTTGGTACGTGGAGCAAAATGTTGTCGCAATCGGATAAATATTAGGTCTGTGGTGCACCATTTAGATGAAATCGGTCGAAAATATATATGGGAGGTATATCGAAATCTGAACCGATTCCAACAAAACTTAACACAGGTCATTCTAGGCCCAATTTCATCCGTTCTGCAAAATCGCACAAACAAAATTTATTTCACGTTATTCTATATTAAAATTCGATACTCTGTGCAAAATTACGAGGCAATCTGACGAACATTGGGTCCTTGGTACACTATCGTAAAATCGGACGAAAATATATATGGGAGCTATATCTAAATCTAAACCGATTTTCACCAATTTCAATAGGGTTCGTCCTTGGGCCAAATAAATAAACTGTGCCAAATTTCATCTCATTCGGATCATAAATGCGACCTGCATTTTGTTAACAATAATACATGGACAGACGGACGGACGTACGGACATGCATAAATCGACTTAGAAAGTGATTCTACGTATATCCTCAAAAGTAACTATGGGTCTATCTCGTATATTTTTGCATGTTACATACAAATGCACAAAGACATAATAGCCTGTACCACAGTGTGGTGTAGGGTGTAAAAATGTCAATGAGGCAGGCCTGGTATAACTGATTGTACCCTCCTCCATTAGAAATCTTAAAAAATCCAAATTTTAATGGTATGAATAGATTTTAGCTATTTAAAAAATCTTATGAACCTATATTGGACGAAAGGTTCTGTCAAGAAGTCGATGACAAATTTTCTTGATTCCGGTAGTCAATGATCAAAATTTCTTAAACAAATTGTAGATATCTGGTATACATTGAAAAAATATATTAACATATTGCAGGAAGCATGTAGATGATGACAAAATATTTTTATACCCTACACCACACTGTGGTACAGAGTATTATGTCTTTGTGCATATGTTTGTAACATACAAAAGTATTTTTTGTTTAAATTTATAATTTTTCAAACTTACCAGATATGACTGACATATATACCCAATAATTGCACTAAATCTCGGGTTAAGGCTTGATATTCGATTAACAAATTTTCAAAATTGTTAAAAAAATTGCGAAGTACAAAATTTGGACGCATTTGGATATTCCGTTCGCTTCATATAAGATTTATAAGTTTCCAAAATATTGACCCTTTGTGGGGAAGGTACTGGAAAAGTGGGCCGATATGTCCCATCTTCCCACATTATACTAGTTTGGTTAAAATATTAGCTTGCGCAAAGTTTGGTTCAAATCGGATAACCCTTTCGCATGATGTTATAAAATTCATATTCAGCAAAATTGTGACTTTTTGTGTGTGGGAGGTACCAGGAGTGGACCGATATTCCCCATCTTTGAACTTGATTCAAGTTTGGAAGAAATATTACGATGTGCAAAGTTTGGATGAAAGTGGTTACTGCCTTCGAGAGTTATCGTGCGCACCAGCCAGCCGGACAGGCACACAGACGGACGGGCATTTGTAAATCGACTCCAAATTGTCTGAAACGGATTTGGTCCAAAGGAACATGGGGTCTTAAACCAATATTTCAATGAGGCACATTTTTGTCGTAATAAAGTGTATATACCCTCATAAGCCTTAAGGCTGAGGGTATAAAAACTGACGTCTCTGGTAGTCTCTGATAAAATATTCCTAAAATTTAATAGGCTCCTAGTAGTCGATGAGAAATATTCTTACAAATTTGTAGATATCTGGAAGGAACTAAAAAAAACATTCTTAGAATGTTGTAGTCCATAAAAAAATATTTTTAAAAAATTGAAAGTATCTGGTAGTAGCGGAAAAATATTATTTAACAATTATATGCCTCCGGTAATCTATAAAAAATATTCTTAAACAATTCTAGGCCTCTGGAAGTCGATTAAACAGATAGTATTAACAAATTGTAGGCATTAGATAGTCGCTGAAAAAATATTTTTGGAGTAAATATATACGCCATAGAATGCAAATGTTATTTTTCACACATAAGTCGAGGTCAATTGGACCCGCTAAATATTGACCGATCATCATGAATTCAGCTATACTTATTCGTTGACCATATCCCCTTCTCCGAGTAAAATTCCGTTATGTTTGGGTCATAATTGTGGCCTCTGGAGCGACCAGAAAAATAGACAAAAATAAACTTTTTGGTCCATTTGAACCCCAAAACATTAACCCATCATTACCAAAAACAGTAGGGGTCTTCTTTAGCCAATACCGGAAATACATATTAAATTTCGTGATGATTGGTCCATAACTGTGGTCTGTATCGTGTTTACAAATTATAATAGACAGACGGACGGACGGACACACATGTCTAGATCGACTCAGCTAGCCGAGATATGACGATCGATATGCCAAAAGGTGGGCCTAGGACCAATATTTCGCGGCGTTACAAACTTTTGGGGCCGCACAAAGCTATTATACAACCTAGTTGTGTAGGGTATAACTATATCATTGTCAAAGTTCCATCTCTCACTTACCAATTCAGTAAATCTTGCAGCGTAATTTTATACGGATCCTTTGATTTGCCATATCAAATATTTCATATTTTAAATCTTCAAAATTGACCGCCACAGCATTACATGCCCGAATTTGTTCAAGAATACCACTAAAGAAATAATGTAATGTTTGGACAGTCAAATAGCCATTGTGCTGGACATCTAATATGCGAAACAAATAATGTAACGATTGTAGTTCATGACGATTATGCAAACACAGAACGAAATCTAGGAAGGTATTCACCATCAAAGGTACGACATTCATCAAAAGACTATACCACCGTACAAACTTAGAAACTCTGAACTGAATAGGGGGTAACCGGAATGGCATTGCACTTTGGCAAACAGGCGACATTGGCAGTGGCAGCTTGCACAACTTTCAAGTAGTCGTTGTAACTAATCAATTGCTGACCCATTGGTGTCACTTGTGCACAATATTTTTCCAATATCGACCACAACGTATTCAATTCCTCATTATCCAGCAGTTCTTGTGACGTTTTTGCGTAGGTTTTGCCTTAGGGTTCATGGAAAATTTTCGGTACAGTTCAATATGTTGGATGGTTAGGATTTGGTTTTCCATTTGCTGAATTGGATTTATTGGCACCAGCACATCCACCACTGCTGCTGATTTTGAGCGGTGCATTTTCATCAAATTTATGCATTTCTTCTTCGCTGGGTTTCTTTGTTTACACTTAAAGATTTTCAAATGCTTTAATATTATCCGGATGCAATTCAAGTTATTTTTGTAATTTAATAGAAATATTAAATGTGTTTTTGTTTGTTTAAGAATTCTTTTACACACAGATATTTTATCTACAACTTTATGTAAACACAGGCTGTTACTATCAATTGTGTGATCTCTTTGAAATTGAATAGAGCGGGGGATTACTCTCTTGGTTTGTCAGACACATAGCCCATTTAACAGGTCATGTAAGGCCCATTTATAAGGTCAAACAGTAAGACCAGATGATTTCATCAGTGCTGTCAAAATGCGTTCTATTTTAAATTAATCGTTTGAAAGCGTAAACAACGAATTTTACATTACGGGGGTATTTCAATCAAAATGGAAGAAAATATTCGCTTCTTACATGATCTGTTATATGAGCCTTGAGGTCATGTAAGAAGAGAATATTTTGGTCTATATTTTTTCAACTTAGGCGTGGATTTATTAATTTATTTTTTCATCATATACGTGTTTTTTTAATGTTTTTTCAACGTAGGCGTCTAAAGAGTGAACCATTATGATAATTTTTGATAGTGATAATTGCGGCCCAACAAGAAACCAAAAACAAATTCGGTTGAACAAACTTCCAAAAATACCGAAAATTTGGGGCTACCGCTATATGCAGCTTTACCAAATCGTGGACCCAAAAAAAACCTTTTTCAATACCAAACATCCCAGGAGTAGTATATATGTTCTTTCTTTAATCTTGCGAGCGATATCGTGATTTTAACAGACGGAATATATACCTTATGGGGTCTTTGGAGAATATTTGAAGGTGTTGCAAACAGAATGACAAATTTACAAAGTTATACAAATATAATATATATGTCTGTTCCAGAACCTGAAAGAATGTAAAATGTTTTACTACGATAAGAATTTTTCCTTTATGACATCAAAAATAGTAAAACATAGTACATTCTTGCAGTACGGGAAGAGGCCAATAATATAAAATATTTTACTCACCTTGTATAAAGAACAAAATACCAATGGTACGCCGATAGTTGATGCTTGACTTGATTAAATTCAAAGAAAAATTTTCAAAGGTCCGCTAATTTGTCTGCGAAGTTAAAAATCCAATTTTATGGATGTGCCAGACATGTAATCTTTCTAATCTTGTTAGAATTTGTCAGGTTTTCTAGTGAGGATAAATCTCGTCCTATCAAAAAGAAAATTGATTAAATCACAAAAAGCAACGACAAAAATTGTGTATTTTTTTATTTTATGGCTGCTTTAAATGTATGTCTCCTCTTTGTAGGCTTGTAACTTTGCAAATATATATATACATATGCAAAGTTATAAATTGACATAATTTTTACAAAACAATTTGTTTGTTTACCACCAGCCGTCAAAATGTCGTCAACATTTTCAATACAAAATATAATATAAAATATAAAACGTTTACTTACCTTGTAAAAAGAAAAAAAAAATGCTAATAGCACAAAATAGAAAGGTACGCCGTTGATGCTTGAATTGTATCGTTGCTGCTTGAATTCAAAATGATTGTTGATGCAGGTCAATTGATTTTATTAACCGGTAGCCATTTACGATTGTGACTACTTTCGACTAATAACCTGTAATCATTTACACATTAAAGCTTCATAATATGAAGCACTGTATCGATTTATCTTGTTGGAATTGTTCAAGTTTTCTAGTGAGGATAAATCACCCCCTCTATCGAAAAGAATATTTACAAAATCACAAAACGCAACGATAAAAATTATGTAAATTTATTTCTTATATTTGCAAAGAAGATATATAAATTAACATTACTTATTATAAAACAATTTGTATATTTACCACCAGTCCAAAAAATTTAATAGTACGTTTACATTGTACCGGATTCCGTAACCAAGTGGGTTTAAATTGTTATATGCCAAATAAATCCCCATAATGTAGGTTAAAACCATGGCATAATTATAGAAGGTAGTTTCATTAAAGATATCGGTATTGGCAGCGCTTTTTAAATTTGGAAATCATCTATCATTTTCAAATAAATTAAAAAATATTACCATAAACTTTTGTGCACGACCAGTGGCATATTTTAATATATTTGAAACATAATATTGTCTAACAGTTCCGCGTACTTTTTCTTGGATAAACCATTTTAAAATTACAAATACTTATGCTTATTACATATATACATATGTATATTATTATATAATGATCATGAAATTCAAAATTTGTAACAAAAATACTTCTTGCCACTGAGCACATGTTGTGCGTACATTTCGAAGAAGAATATTTCCATTTACATTTTGAAAGCAGAATGTTGTCAAAGTCAAATTTATGAAAAAATTGTATTCGTATGTTGGCAAAGGATTACCTTGTAAGTGCCGATTAATATACAAAATATGAACCGTTTATATGCCTTGTAAAGTCGAATGCCACACTAAAGTGATTTCATGAAACAAATTACACGAAATTATGAGTTCTTAGATCGAGTTCCTCAGCTGAACATTTTTTTTAAATTAATGTAGTGCTGAACTCGATGTAAGGTCGCCTACTTTATCATGAAATTACTTTAGAGGGCATTTACATTGTTCTGGATTTAGAAAATTCAGTGGGTTTTAAAAAAGTTCTAATGTACATTCTGTTTTAGTGTGACAAAAAGAAAAAAATAGCCAATATATTTATTAGCTAAACCATTGCAGCATTTATACCCAACGTGTTTAATGATTAATCGTCATTTAATCATCATTTGGATAGTCATATCGATAATGTCATTTATTAAATCACAAAAAGCAACGACAAAAATTATATTTTGTTTTTCATTTTATGGCTGCAGCGAGGAATTTATGTAAATTTACGCTACAAGCCTACAAAGAAAAAAATGCACATATTTTTTTACAAAACAATTTTTTCGTTTACATCCAATCCATAAGAAATCGTCATTTAAAATCAAACAAGTAAAAACGCCGTTAAGTTCAGCCGAGCCGAACTTATTAACTCGCCACCATGATCTGGACATTAAAAGTACATGTAATCGATCGGTACTTTTATATATATCGTTGGTTGTGCCATGGTAATTTTTTGATAGGACGATTTGACACACGGCGAGAACGAAGTTACAGCCAATTTGCATAAAAAACGGGGCCATAATCCTCAAAATACCGGTACCGCTATATTGGGGCTGTCGTAAATTTTTATATGATATTTTTTGTGGGAAGATTTGCAACCCTATCTAAATTCAAAATACCGAATTACAATCAATTCGATTGAAAGTCAATTCGGGCTATCTTATAAAGTAGATGAACATTTATAATTCTCGCTTCAAAGACTTACCAAAAATCTTCAAACGTTTTTAATTTTGATTTGCCATTTGCAAACATCAAAGACATAGAAACGTAAAGACTTGACAAAATGCATTTTGGAAAAATAGTTTATCGAAACATATGTAGGGGGCTTCTGGCATAACAGAGGCATGTAAATAATAAAAACGCGAATAAGAGGGAAAAGGTGCCCCCTACATATGTTTCGATAAACTATTTTTCCAAAATGCATTTTGTCAAGTCTTTACGTTTCTATGTCTTTGATGTTTGCAAATGGCAAATCAAAATTAAAAACGTTCCAACTGCTACAAAGGAGGAAGAAGAAAAACTTGACAATAACGAAGGTACTTAAAGTGAAGTGACGATTAGGGTGTGGCAGTGAATCAAAGGAGCTTAAGCAAACAAATGAACCCTTCGAAAATGCTTGGGCCATGAAAATACCAGCCTTCAAGCCAGTGGATAATCCAAATGGACTGGTGGAGGAGAGTTAATTTGCCACACTATTCCCGAAATATCGTGAGAGGTATTTGAAACAAGTCTGGCCATTGGTACAACAAGCTGTTGCTGAATATTATCTGAAAGCTGAACTGGATTTAATTGAAGGCAGTATGGTGGTGAAGACAACACGTAAAACCTGGGATCCCTACATTGTCATCAAGGCACGTGATATGATTAAGCTAATGGCTCATAGTGTACCCTTTGAACAGGCCAAACGTGTGCTACTGGACGAGATTGGTAGAAAGAAAAATTCTTCAAAAGACATCAACGTTTAATTGGTCCCAGTGGTGCCACTTCGAAATCCATTGAACTTTTAACTGATTGTTATGTTTTGGTTCAAGGTAACACGGTCTCGACATTGGGTCCCTATAAGGGTCTACAACAGGTTCGTGATATTGTCATCGATACCATGAACAATGTGCATCCCATTTACAACACCAAGGCAATCATGATCAAACGGGAACTTATAAAATATCCAAAATTGGCCAATGAGGATTGGTCGCGTTTCCTGCCCAAATTCTAGAACAAGAATATCAGCAAACGTAAACAAACCAAGGTTAAGAAACAAAAGAAGGAATACACACCATTCCCACCGGCACAACCCGAAAGCAAAATCGATAAACAATTCTTCGGCTTCGGCTGAATATTTCCTTAGCAAAGAACAGAAACAACAACGCAAGCAAGAGGAGGAGAGTAATGCCAAACGATCTGAGGCTGCGAAGAAACAAGAAGAGAAACGTCAAAAATAGTTTATCCCGCCTACAGAAGATTCACCGTCGTCAGCGGCAAAGAAACGTTCCGCCGATGGGCATGATAATAAGTTGGAAGTTAAGGCGCTTAAAGCCAAGTTGGCCAACGCTAATAAGAAAATGAAAAAGGCGTAGTATAATTAAGCTTTTCAAAAGGATTTCTTTGTAATCGTAGTATTTAAGTTTTATACCTTTCTTATTACATGTACTTTAGTGGAAAATAAATAATAGAGATTTTTTACTGTTTGTGTAAAGAATTGTGATTGAGGTGAATTTTATTTGAAGAAGGATAGTAGATAGAAATTGGAAATATTGTAATTTTTGTAAAAATTGGCTTCGTATATGGAATGATTGATTATTTTTATACCCTTCACCACACTGTGGTACAGGGTATTGTCTTTGTGCATATGTTTGTAACAGGCAAAAGGAAACGAGATAGACACATGGTTCCTTTTGAGAATATGCATAGAATCACGTCTAAGTCGATTTATGCATGTCCGTCCGTCTGTCTGTCCATGTTAAATTGTAAACAAAGTACAGGTCGCATTTATTATTCGAATTGTATGAAATTTGGCACAGCTCAGTCATTTGGCCCAAGGACGAACCCTATTGAAATTGGGAAAAATCGGTTCAGATTTAGAAATAGCTCCCATATATGGCACAACGTACTTAATTAAGCCTATGAGGTGTGCGAAATTTCGTGAAAATAGGTTCAGATTTAGATATAGCTCCTATATATATATATATTCGTCCGATTTAAGGTAAATGGTGCACCAAAGTTCCTAAATATCTTTCGATTTGCACGAAATTTGGCACATCGTACTGAATTCAGCCTAGAATGATGTGTGCTATGTTTCGTGAAAAGCGGTTCAGATTTAGATATAGCCCCCATATATATTTTCATCCGTACTGAATTGAGTCTAGATGTGTGCTAAGGAATTGAGTCTAGAATGATGTGTGCTAGTGTGCTAAAAAAATCGGTTCAGATTTAGATAAAGCCCCCACGTATATTTTTGTCCTATTAACACGAAAATTTGTACACCTCATTCTAGGCTTAATTCAGTACATTGTGCCAAATTTCGTGCAAAGTACAGGGCAAAATTATGATCCGATTGATATGCAATTTGGTAAAGCTCATTTATTTGACCCAAGAACTAGGGTTCGTTCGTTGAAATTGGAGAAAATCAGTTCAGATATACCACTCATATACATTTTCGAACGATATGGTATAAATGGTAAACCCAACCAACATCCAAAGTTTGTTCGATTAAAATTTATTTAAATCGGAACTGATTTCAACCGATTTCAACAAAGCTATATTAAATGGTTTGGTATGTATATGACCATTTATATTAGAACAAATTTAAAACATGTGGTTCAATTGTGTAGCTGTGTACATTTTCGTTTCAATCACAAAAAAACTAGGTATCTGGTACACCATTTAGATGAAATCAGTCTAAAATGTATGTAAGAGTTGTATAATACAGGTGTTGGGCAAATCCTCCTTCAAAATTATAGATATTGGTCCACTTTTTGTGGTAAGAGGTATTATGTCTTTTTGCATATGTTTGTAACAAGCAAAAGTTAACAAGATAATGTTTAGTTACTTTTAAGAATATACATAGAATACGTTTGTCTTCTGTCCGTCCTTGTTAAATTGTAAAAAAAGTACAGGTCTAATTTATGATTCGATTGAGATTAAATTTGGTAAAGCTTATTTGTTTGACCCCGGAACTAGGAAATTGGACAAAATCAGTTCCGATCTAGATATACCACTCATACACATTTTTGTCCGATTTGATATAAATGGTAAACCCAACTTCCAAAGCTAGTTCGATTCATTATAGGCTCAATTTTATACGTTGTGAACAATTTCGACTTAATCCGACAAACATTGGGCCTTAGTGCACCATTTAGGAGAAATCGACCGAAGATATATATGGGAGGTATATCAAAATTGGAAACGATTTCAACAAAACTTAACACATGTCATTATATGCTGAATTTGATACGTTGTGCAAAATTTCGTCGCAATCGGGAAAAATTTGCGTTAATTAGTGCATCATTTAGGAGAAATTGGCCGAAAATATATATGGGAGCTATATCAAAATCTAAACCGATTTCAACAAAACTAAACACACGTCATTATAGGCTCAATTTGGTATGTTGTGCAAAAATTCGTAACCGGAGAAAGATTGGGCCTTTAGTGCACCATTTAGGGAAATCGGACGAAAATATATAGGGGAGCTATATTTAAATCTGAACCTATTTCCACCAATTTCAATAGGGTTCGTCCTTGGACCAAATAAATGAGCTGTGCCAAATTTCATCTCATTCAGATCATAAATGCGACCTGCATTTGGTTTACAATAATACATGGACAGAGGGACATGCGTAAATCGACTCATAAAGAGATTCTTATTCGAGTGACTTACGACTAAACAGTT